AACACTTGAAGTAGATTCAACAACAAAGGGCAGCATGACATCGAGATGAAATTGATGTGATGATGAATATAACCGTCGTAGTTGGTTACAAAATCCATAGTTGATGATCTTAACGATTGTAATTGGTTGCAAATGCCATAATTTGAGGCTATAAAAGCTGTAATAGGGCTACCAAAGTCGTAGTTGGCAATAGAAATAATATTTGGGGGCTAGAACAACCGTTGTGGGGCTACAAAAGTTGTAGTTGGAAGATATAACAATTGTAGTTGACTACATAAGACATAGTTTGTGGCTATAATAGCTAGAATTGGCTATGGACTTTATAGTGACTACAACTATTATAGTTGGCTATAACAACCACAGCTGGTAACTATAAAAATCGTAACTGGTTATATAAGTTATGGTTAATAGATATAACAACTGAAATTTGGGTTCATATGCATAATTGGAGGCTATAACAATCAAAGTTGGCTATAACAGGCATGGTTGATGGCCATAACGGTCGCAATTAAAACCTATAATCATTGTAGACTGTAGTTGGTGGCCATAATAGCCGTAATTGGATACATAAGCTGTAGTTGGGTTGCAACAACTACAGTTAGTGATCACCAACAAGCTGTGGTTGACGACGACCTCTCATGTTTGGCTGTGATTTTAGGTGGTCGACAACTATTGCTAGTGGTCGATGACAACTTTTGATAGTCAACAACAAAATTCTGTGGTCTGTCATTTTCTAAGTTACCAATGACAACAACGGGAATTTCAGGAGTACTTGGGCTTTAATAGTCAACTCACTCTTGTGTTCTCCTCCCCTTGATGTGGGAAATCAAAGCCTATTTCAATAATTGTAATTTAAAATTTTAAATATAAATAAATTTTAATAGCATTTGCACGAATTAATTAAAAAATAAACTAAAGATCATTCTTATTTGCGTTGAAAATAAACACTAATTGGGATTAAGCAACTCACTTAGGGTATGTTGGGGCAGCTGCAGCTTATTGAATAATCTATCGCACCAAATAAGCTGCCCCAAGCAGACACTTAAACTCTCACTTAGGGCTGTAAATGATGAGAGTGCTTAAAAAGCTAATAATTGCTTGATATTTACAGAGCTCGTTCATAATTATTTAATAAGCTAATTGAGCAACTCTAAACACTTTTATAAATAACAGGTTTATAGATGAACCTCCTTGAATATTTTATTGTTTGATTTATCTATATTCGTGAAAAATATTCTCAATTAATACTCAATATTTGCTTAAAAACCCAATATCAAAAAATCATTAAATATTTAATTTAATTTAGATAAATTGTGCTTAAAACTAAATTATTTTCTTTTCTATTATTAGCTTAAAAAAATAAAAAAAAACTAATTTAAAAAACAAATAAAAAAATCAGTTCCATGTTTTGAGGGAACCTTCATATTAATATAATTTAATGAAATTTCAAAATTCACATGAAGCTTCATTTTAATTTAAACATATCTTTAAAAATAAGTAAGAAAATGTATGCTTCAATCATTTTTTTTATGTAAATTAAGATTAAAATGACTTTCACGTGAAGCTTTATGCTTTTCACTAATATATGTACGTTGAATCATTTTTAGGATATAAAGTTTAGTATTATTTGCGAGCACATATAACCAGATAAAAGATCAAGTACCATAGAACAAACATTATAAAGAGCATGGGTGTCCATTCGGTCGGTTCAAATGAATCAGTTTTAAAAATTGACAAACAGATGTGAATCGAAAATCAAAAACCGATCTATAAAACTTCAACAGGGCTCAACCAGTCAAACCAAAATTCAGTTCGGGTTGAACCGCTTGGTTTTACTTCGGTTTGAACGATTAGGTTTTACATAAACCGATATATATATATATATA